GACTGTGACTTTATTTTATACTTTATATTAAGTAGGATACTTTAACTAAAATTACTTATCAAAGATTTGTACAACAACTTGAGACGAAAATTTATTCAAAATAAACTTTTTACTGTGTCTTCATTGAAGTTATCAAACCAACTGTTTTATTAGTCTTTACTAAAGTTAAACACGATCTTCAACAAAGTATTATCAAGTTATTACAGCTTCTAAATGACTCTTTCTTAATAAATATAATAAAAACTGTGTACCATGTTGACTTTAATTAAGAGTTAAGAAATAAGTTTGTTTTTTCAAAATAAAATTGGACTCATTAACAACAAAACATATCCAATTGAAATGTTTTTAAGTTTGTTTTATATATTCAGTTTGACAGAACTTAATCTGAAATTATAAACTTCAGAAGCAACCCTTTTAGTTTAACGATAACAATTATCGGGGAATCGGCTCTGTCGCACAAAAGGTAACCGACGTTAATATAAAATGAAGTAGTTATCCGAGGTACTTAAACTATATAAAAAATTATATTGAGACACGGTAGAACTAAATCTCTGATATAATTTCGTAATAAGTTTAAAAACATGTAGTAATATTATTGAATGTTTTATTATTATTATTGGGGTTATCTATAAAGTTTTCTCATCTGGTTGGGCTGTTTAAATATATAATTATAAACGAAATATATAAACATACATAAATATCAATAAAATAGTATAAATACATAAAAAATACATAAATATATAAAAAAACCCAACCAGATGGAAGCCCTCGGCAGGGGAGACCAAACGGCCGAGGGTTAGGGGGAAAGGGAAAGAAACCGGCGGACGATGCGGGCGGTATCGAGGAGCACCGCCTTCTGCATTTGAGCTTGGAGCGGTCCGTCACGGAGTCCCAGTCGCCTCAGATGACCCGAGAGGCTAACTGGGATTAACCCGTTCGCAGAAACGACCACAGGAATAATTTCGGCAGGCAGACCACCCCACATGTTGGTCACCTCGTGAGCCAGGTCCAGATATTTTGTCAGCTTATCTGTTTCGGCTTTCACGAGGTTCTCGTCATAGGGAATGGTAATGTCGACCAAAAATATCCTTGACTGTGCCCGGTCCATCAGCACAATATCAGGCTTATTCGCAAGAATAGTCCTGTCTGTGATGATGGCCCGGTCCCAGTAGAGCCTGGCGCGGTCATTTTCGAGCACGGCTTCCGGCAAGTACTTATAATATGGCAGTTTCCGATCCACGAGACCGTATTTCAGAGCGAGCTCCTGGTGTAGAATCCTGGCTACTAGGTTGTGTCTGTGCAAATACTCAGAGTTAGAAAGCGCCGAACAACCGGAGATGACATGCCTAAGTGACTCACCGGGATGGTGACAAGCTCGACAGATGTCGACGGTGCCATCCTTTAGGATGTATCTCCGATAATTGTTGGTCTTAATAACCTGATCCTGTATTGCACAGACAAAACCCTCAGTTTCCCCAAAGAGGTCACTGAAACGTAGCCAGTGGAGGGAGGCGACTATGTCTACGAAAGGCTCATGAAGGGCCTTGTAGAACCTCCCTTGGAGCTCCTTCTCCTTCCATACAGTCTCCCGGTCGGAAATGCTCTGTACTGCCGGGTCTTGCCATTGCTCGTTGTCTAAGGATAGAGGGGTTAGCCCTTTATCACAAGAAATAACGTCCCTATAGTATGGATCATCCGCTCTCGTCAGAAAGTAATTACGGAGGCTGCACACTTCGCGATTATGCATGATAAGCGCGCTTAAAAAGCCGCGCCCACCATGCTTCCGCGGCAAGTACAACCTCATTACTGACGATCTCGGATGATGCATCCTGTGGGACGTCATTATAGTGCGGACTTTTCTGTCCAGAGCGTTTAGTTCGGTCTGAGTCCACCTAAGTATGCCAAAGGTATACATGAGAACAGGCATGATCCAACCGTTATATGCGTGCGTCTTATTCACACCGGACAAAAGGCTATTAAGCACTTTGGTCAAGCGTGCATAAAACACATCGCAAACTGACCGTTTCATACCCGACTCATCTACACCGATGTTCTGTGACATACCCAGGTATCGGTATGTTTCAGCCTCGGAAAGGGTCCTTATGCTGATGGGCATAGATAAGTCTATGCCCTCAGAGTTAGCAACCCTTCCCCTTTCGACATGGAGTATCGCACACTTATCCGTCCCCAGCCCCATTCTAATAGAATTGCTAAAATCACAAGTGATGTTTAGCAATTCCATAAGATGAGAGCGACTGGAGGCGAATAACTTGAGATCATCCATATAGAAAAGGTGGGTCACTATTATTATTATTATTATTCAAATGTAATACAATTTTTGAAAGGGAAATGTAGCAATCTAAGTTCAAGTCACCACGTCACAAATGAAAACAATAGCATGTAAGCTTCTGTAAAATGGTTGATAAGGTAATGTTATGGGTTCCCTATATTCCCCTCAAATTAAATTCCAGCAGGTTTGAAATTTTATACCGGATGTAAATCCTAGAAATTAGATAAATCAGAAGTGGACCTATAGCAGAAAGAGGCGGTGTAAGAATATCCACAACCCATATCGTCCCGGGGTGTCCCGGGGTGTCGTACGAGGCGCTAGAGGGAAACAAGTCGGGAGATGGGCAGCGTAATAAATAAAACTGCGATTGACAACGCGTAAGCCAAGCGTGGAAGCTATGGCCCCCATGAGAAACGACAGAAAGAGAAGGCCGCCAAGTCCCAGTCCAGAAGAGGGACAAGAATCCTTGGAATGTAATGGGATTATCTCAAGTCAGAAGACAGGGTAAGGACACGGTAGTTTACAGATCCGGTAACTTTTTCTATCACTGGGACGGTGACCATTAAACCATAGGTGTCAACAAGGATTGCGTACTTAATACTCGGAAGTGATTCTCAAACGCTATTCGAATAAGCCCTATAATAGTAAATTTTGTAGTTTTACGTGGTAGAGCCATTCTGCAGCTATATTATGGTTATACCGCGAATGTGGCGGCTCGACCAGGAATGGAACACGTTATCACAAAGTACCAATGTGGTATGAAGCACAGCAGCCCTAAGCTGCTATTAGCTTAGGTTTGCTATCCGTATGTATGTATGCCGTATCGAGGATGTAGAAAACTGGAAAACATTTACACTGGAAATGAGGCATTACGTCTTAGTCCTCAGGTGGTATACCTATTTAATTTAAAAATAAATTTGCAATCTACATATGTACGTTCCGCAGATGCGGGCACATGAGTTTTATAATTTATTATAAACTTATAGTTATTTACTTACGAAAATAAATAATATAACTACACATTATGATTTCGCCAATAAATTATTATTTATTTATTTAGAACAAATATCGCTTAAGAAAGACATAACTTACTTACATAACTAAAGCAATATTTTTTTGAACATATTATGTATATAGTATTAAGATCATATAACGAAAGATCTTTTGTTTGATAGCGACAATAACATTTACTCTACGGAGTAGATTTATGAGTTAGATTACGCTACCAGCACTGGCGCGTACTTATGACAATACCACGCGAGTTGCAAAGTTATACTTTCCTCCCGTAGTGCGTATACTATTTTTATCATACGTTTATCGAAATGAATGTACCTTAAAATATATCATGTCATGTAACTTTGACGTTTAAAAACAATAGAGCTAGAAATTTGACGCATGCGTACTAAATGAATAAGTCATTGGACCGGGAACTTTCGATCAAGCTATGATAAAAATCAATATAGTCATGTGTTAAGTGAAATATTTATTATATGGATATTTCTTTGGGATAATTTTGTCAATTATTGGTGAGAAAAATTATAGAGATGTATTAATACATTCTTCGCAGATTTATAAATTTAAGAATAAATTAAAATTTTGTATGGTTTATTGTTCGTCTATTGTGTTTTAATCAAAATGTTTGAATTTTAGTATAAGCTACTTTATATTAAGTAAAAACAGTTTGAAATACTATCAAAATTTAACAGCGTATAAAAAGTAACAGCGGTCTGGAAAAGCTAATAATGGCTAGCAAATTAGTGGGACAACAGTGACAGAACACCGGCGTTGTAACAAAATTAATTTTATAATGTTGGTTGCGAAGCGAAGACAGGGATGAAAAGATCCATTCAAGGAATATTTTTAATAAGCAAAAAGGTGTTTTTATTACATAGTATATCACAACATGTAATAAGTTAATTCAGTTTACACTTTCGTCAGTTTATGTATTAAAAATTATGTCTAATAAATAAAAAATTATATTTGTTTGTTAGTATTTTATGCGCTGCCATACCGTTCATCAGATTGATATAAAACTTTGTCAGCTTATTGCTTGCACTTGCATGAAAGTTATAAGCATAGTACAATTAACTTACAGTAGGTGGCGCGCGTATCACACCGATTTTATTTAAAAGTTATATATATATCATTCAACTTCAATTAATGTATTAATATTCTTTAATAAATGTTGTATATTTAAGTATTATCTTTCCTAATTAAACTAATAATTCTACAAAATTTAAAACAATTTCATTTGCGGCAGGTATTAAACTTGGATATTAAAAATATGGTGTTTATCCTAAGAGGCAACACATGGAAACGGAAACAAAAGATGGGCAACAACAACAACTGCGATTGCCATCCAACCTGCGAAGCGCAGCAACTCTTGCAAAATCCTAGCCTATGGATAGGAGGCCTGTGTTCAGCAGTGGAATTTTGGTGTAATATGGATAGGTTGTAATGAATTAATGAGTAGGACTGTATGATAATTAAGTTACTAGTTTCAGTTTTTCTTTATTATAGTTTATAATATTGTATATACTAAGTGTTATATAATTTTAAAACAAAAAAAAATTAATGAATCTTCATATATTATATTATCTATAGATATTTAAAAATCATAGATAGATGGACTTATAAATATAGTCGACTATAATTACTGACAATATACACGAAATTCTATATTCACATCGTTACATTGTACTGTACTTACATCGACCTCTATCCCTGGTATACGAAATATCTTTAGTGGAGGAACGTCGCGCGGGGAGTAACGACAGAACTCTCGATCCCCTCGATACCACTTCACAGTGTATAAGACCTCTTGCTCTAAATCATAAACGCATTTCATCTCGACTCTTGATCCCCGCTCCACTGAATCCGGCACCAACAACTGTACGTTACGCAAGGAGAGTGTTCCTGGTGACAAAAATCAAAAAATTATTATTGTAACTGTGAAATATTATTCAATACTTGGCATATACCAATATATATGCGCGTTTGTGTGTTCTTTTTTCTTTTAACAAATATTATTTCTAGGGACACCAAAAATATTCATAAATTATATGACGCCCGGTAGTGTACAGTATTGTGCAGTTTACTAAGCAATTGGCTGCGAAGCTGCAGACCCCAGGTTAGATTCCCTAATGAAACAAGTATAGCCAAAAAATATTATTCGATTTCTACGTGTTTCTGTAGTTATTAGTATGTATTTTTCATAAAACTGAAGCTGCAAACGAATTTAGAGTCCACCTGATATTAAGTGGTCGCTGCAATCCATAGACAACTGCAGTTAAATTCAAACAATGATGATTGGTTTGTTAAACCAACTGCTTCAGACTGGAATGGAACACGTAATTGCAAGCACAACTATTTGGGGACAGTAACTTGTAAGAGGTGGTAGCTACCCAGATGGACTCGAACGAACAAATTATATTGAAAATCCTAAAAAAATGAATTCAAAAGTTAATTTTATTGTTCAAACTATATTCAGTGTTATAAATTGAATTAAGTTATAGTAAACTATAAGCATTATGATAAACCAATATAATATTATAGATTATTGGCATTGTATTAAATTACATAATTTTTTTTATTTGAGAAGCCAAAAATGACTGTCTTGTTCACAGTGTGCACCGAAGCATTGTCAGGTTGCAATAGGATGCGACTTCTTGGCCGTTTTTCCCTAACCTTTTCAAAGACACTGGGCAAATAAATGGTAGTGTACCAATCAGCATTAACTGTATTTTGCTTATCAAGTAGGATCATGTATACAGGATCCGTCTGAGAGCAAAAACACGCAATAATATTTTTGCCCATGCTTCTTGCCTGTCGCAATTTTGTTGGTTTGCTGTCGCATACGCTCATAAAGAAGACTATTGTTTTCTTTCTGGCATGTAACAATATATTCTTATCTCTGCCGTCACAATGTCTGTGATAAAGCAGTTGAACGTCCGTGATCATACATTATCAAAATATTTACACCAACCAACTCGAGCTCGTTTTTGTTGTGAAGAACCCAGTGGCAACAAAGTCTTTACGTTTTTAAATTTTGATGCATTTTTTTTAATTTAGCTAATACCAATACCCAAATTTTCTAGAAAATCTATATACTCGTAGGTTATGTGCCGGTTTTCTTCAATAAGTCGCCTGATGGTAGCAACATTCTTCTCAGTGATCGCAGTTGAGGGTCAACCTTGACGAATTTCACTATAGAGAGAAACATGGCCATGGTCAGATTTTGCGTACCAAATAAGGTACTTCCCTCCCAAAAGCATTTTGAAGACTTACAGCGCAATCCTGCGGAGAGTGAACTTTTAAAAAACTACCGCCCTGAATTCTCATCGAGTTAATTCAATTTGTACTACGGTCGACACCGACTTATGATAAAAAAACAATTGACACGCAACTTCCCGCCAAAAATTATTTTAAACAAAATAATGAGTTTCTTCTTTTTTTAAATATAGGTAACATATGAAATTCAAACATTTAAGGAGTGCAGAACTTTCAGTGTGTCATATGTGTTATTTTTTATTTAAATTATTGAAATAATATAAATCCGTTAAATTCAAATAAATAAACAAAAAACTATGGGTAAAAATGTGATTTAATATTACCATAGCTGATTTAAGCGTTTCATATACCTAATTTAATATTTTTTTAAATTATTATATATGCTTTAAAATGGATTTTAGAAAGAATATTACAGATATGTGCATAGTAATAGAATAATCGATAATATGATGATTTAATTCAAATTATTGTAGAATGGGAATATTTTTTTAATTAATAAATTATTATTAAATGTTTCAGCAATAGATAACCTGCCTCTTTGATATAAATGACTTAAAAGGCAATTAGGAGAAAGTCTTATAGACGATTGCTTTTAATAAGTAGAAGGCTTGCTTTTAAAATAGCAATTATTATTGACTTATTTTCTTTGTCACTTAAATTATCAAAATTGTCATTGTGATCTTCATTATAGCCCATTACAAGTCTAATGCTGAACATAAGTCTCCCGCAGTAAAGCCACAAAACACTTCTTCAGTACTAGCTGCATTGAAGTAGTAAGACTCACCACATGCATTTGGATATCTCTCTGTTCAGTTGCCTCCTTCTCGTTATATCTATCTAAGACTATTTTATAAAAAAAGACTGAAATAAAAAGAAGAACAGACTTTAAGCTTATTCAATAAAAAATAAAACAAAGTGTGATCGAAAAGTTTATAAGTTATTTTACGATAGGTCTTGCAGAACCAAGATCCGACCATATGGTAAGTTTCCACGCGCTTGTCGTACACTGAATATGATTTTTTTAATTCCAGCTGAAAGTTTTACGGCTTTAGACTAGAGCACGAAGCGGGCGGTACGTTGACTTCTTTAGACGCGACCTCAATAACGCAACTTAAAAGTTAAGTACCAGTTTTCATACCCGCAATCACTGAGACATTACTGAACTGTTGCCATCTGATAATACCTATAGTCAATCTCAATTATTGTCGAACCTACAGTGAAAGAGTTCTTCATAAAGAGTAAAGAGGATAGTGATATATTTATATGAAAACTCTAATAATACGTACGTAACTATTATTTACGAAATGAAAGACGCTATAATAAGAGAAAGATAATATAAGAATGCGCGACTGTATTCGACACAGAGTTTCTTTTTCAAGGTCATGTCTTTAGATCCGTGCCGGTGAGAGTCGATTCTTAATATCCCTCTGACAACAACTACAATAAGACTATACAAAATCGATAAGACTGCCGTTGCCAACCCGACTGTCAAGCGTGTCAACCATAGCAAAATTTCAGTTTCACAAAGCCTTTGTTCACCTGTCGACTTTTGATTGTTGATAAATGAATGACTCGGTATGCGTAGGGCCAGTTTTGACTTGGTCGTTGGTCCAGTATTCGAGACTGCGACTGGGTCGGGCCAAAATCAAATAATTCTCAGAAGCAGCCAGGAGTCAGAAAGTTGGCGATTTGTCATTCCTGTGCCTCGGAAAACACGTAAAAACGTTGATCCTTTTCTTGATATCTCTTCTGTCTTATCGTCACATCGTTGACATCGGTCAGTGATAGTGGAGGGAATTAGAATGCATCTATATACTTGCGCTCATACTTGTGCACTATAATCCAGTCCTGCGTAAATCACTAGTCTCCGTTGAGATTGGCCGCCTTGCTTAAAATTCGGTCTTTAGGGCATTATTATTATGCGTAGAAGTCATCGTCCAGAGGACTAAGAACGGCGATTAAGCCTCAACGGAGTTAAACGTTTTCTCTTGTTAAAAGTTATTCAAATTCTGAATAAAATTGTAAACTAGCATGAGCATGGTCTAGTAAGTACAGCACATGATAGGTATAAACATCCTACTATCCCACTTCCTACTATAATATCATAAACGTGAAAGTTTGTGAGGATGTATGGACGCAAAAACTACTAAACGAACTTTAATGAAACGTTACAATTATTAATCTTATACGCTAAAACAACACATAATCTATTATTAATAAAGATATTGTGTAAATTGGCCAAAATATAACGATGAATGTAAGTCGAAAAAAAAACACTACGTCTGTCTGAACACGCTTCACGCAAAAATCTGTGAACCAATTTGGATGGGACTTCCACTGACAGATATCTGATGTTATCAGAAGTAACATAGGCTAATTTTATTTTAGAGTTCCGCGCAAAATAATTCCACGCGGGCGAAGTCGCGGGGAACAGCTAGTTACATATAAATATTCCTTATTTCAACCGAGGTTCGATCCCCGCCGGCATCAATGAAATTGTTAATTGCAATTTTACGAGCTGATTTACCACGTGCTCTTCGATGAAAGAAAACAGCGTGAGGAAACCTGCTTGTCTGAGTAATAAGAAAAAAATCTTTCAAAGACATGTACAGTTCACCAGCACATATAGGGATAGCACGGCGGACATTTCCTTGACCCTCTCAGAAATGAGGGGAGACCTGTGTCCATCAGTGAGACGTATATAGGCTGTAACTTTAACTTTTAAAAGAAGCGTGGAACGTGGAACGTCTGTTAATGTAATTCTAAAACCGTTTGCGCTCCATAACAACATTCCTACATAATTCTATTAACAAAATCTTACAAAACATGTCAGTCAGTCGGTGGTTTTAATATATGTCCCGTGAACTGTTGTAAGAGAAATACTGCAATGACTTTATTAACTATTTAACGACCATTTTCAAAATTAAATCGCTACTTAGATATCGTCCGGGTTCATTTCGGAGAGACGGGAAAAGGGTCTACGAAAATGAAATGGCTCATTCTGCTGGGTACGGATTTCGGAAAGTAAATTATCTGCTAAATCCATGATATTGCACAGCTGCCTTCACTTAATTAAATACATATTGAGTAATGGTTACATCTTTTATAACCTCTGTAAAAAAATTAATATTATATAATGGATGAAAATAAAATATGTCTTATTCAACTTCAGCATTATAAGATCCGTACGTGTTATAAAGTCGATTTAATTTTATCTGATGAACAAGAAATACCGCATTTTAACACTCTTTTGTAGCTTCGCGTGTATCTATCTATGTATATATGTATAAATGAATATTTTAATGTAATTTGCACCAACTTATAGACAGCCGATTGACTTTAAGATTTTCACTCGTATCAAAGACCGATACAATACAATAATTTAATAACCTTATCCTTGTATTCTGGTTAAGATCACCAGGATAAAATAAGATAATTATTAGAATCATCACAGCTTATGATCAATGCGTGTTGTTTAAGTTTTTTTTTTAAACGCTTACATTATTAACCTAAAGTTATACTGTAGATTGCGTTCCATAATCAAAACCTTTTGTCACTTTAAAATAAAATACGAACCATACACATGTAACACACAGAAATTACACATAGCCGCGTGGTGGGGGCGT